AAAAAAAAAAAAAAAAAACAAAAAAAAACACTCTTGATTACATTCATTGAATGATTTAACTCAGGTGATCAACGGTATTATTTGTTTCCTATTCGGCCTTGCATTGGTCTCTGTAGACAGTATGTACTGCCCATTCTACAGGCTATGGGCTCAGTCACATGATTTGCTTTGCCCTATGCAATGTGAGCAGATGTGCCATAAAACATGCTCAAGAAGAAGCTTCACAGGCATTTATGTGGTTTGGCTCTGCACCCTTCCCCTGAGCTCCACTTTTCCCATCTCCCAAACATTTGCCCTTCCCCATGAGAACAACATGCCCAGATAGTGGCTGCTCCTTCAAGTGACTGCAGCTCTCAAGGAACATGAACTTGAACAAAGTATATGGTGGTGCGAGCTACTGAGATTTGGGGGTTGCTTGATATTGCAACAAAATGCTGATTAATATACCTAGGTCAGGTTCATAATAAATAATGAGGGTCTACAATGTGCCAAACATTGTGCTAGGAGTTTTATATAATTTCATTTTGATTATCACAATAACACAATAAAGCAGATGAGCTTTCCATTGTAAAGCAAAAGAAAATAAGGTAAAACATTAAGGTAGCGTTCAAATCCAAGTCAGGTTGAGCCTAATCCCCACCTCACTACCTTGGCATCTGCTTCCTCAGGGGCCAAGGGCATGGAAGGAGTGATGGCACAAGGTCCCTGCTGCATGTCAGGGTCCTGTTCCCAATGTACAGCCCTGCTTCCTGCAGTGCTCCAGACGCTGAAGGGGAAGCAGCATGTTCTTCTGAATTCTTCCCTGTTTCTTGGCCCATAAAGAACTCTACTCATCCAAAATGCCTTCTTTCATTTTCAGAGCGCCAAAAACTATCTCAACAGCCGAGATTTTAAGCAGGCATATGCTACAGCTACATCCTGTGTGGCTCCTGGTACACTGTACCAACCCCTAGTCCCAGACAGCCAGCAGGATTAGCTCTGTCACTGGGCACAGCCTCTGTCTTCCTTTGCCTTGCTAGGGTACCCCTCACTCACCTCTTCCCCCTAAAGCCCAGGATTTAACTAGGGAAAACTAAAGCCATTCTTGCTCACTTTTCCTTGACATCTATGAATTCTAAGCCTCAGTACCAAAGGCCCCATAACAGACACCATTGTATTCATTTAAATCAAGAGTTCTGGTTTGATTCACCATCACCAGAAAAGACCATCTTCGACTCAGTACTTATATCATCCAAGTCATAGTAAATCAGGGACCCTATATCTTATGTTCTTAATCAATAAGATACCATGGATTTGGACAAATCACTTATTTTTCCTGAGACCCTTACACTTCTTAAGTGTAGGTAGGCAATACCAGCCCTATTTATTCATAAAATGGGATGATACATATAAAAGCCATCTAACACGTAGTGTACTGAAACATGTAAATAAGCAAAATTGACCACCATGTCACACCTTTCTTTATATTTCTGATTGGAGAAAAGAACTAAATAGTTGGAAGGAGTGAAGAGATTTGTGAGTCCTAGATCCAAAATTTGAGACTGGAAGGGACATTTTAGGCCCATGTTGGCTGGAGGAAGATTCGTCTCATCTGGTCCAAAGTGTTTGTCTCACTTTACCAGTACCTAGTATGACCACGTGTAATTGTTCAGAATGGACACTATCCTTTCCACCAAGAATGGGGTTCTACTCATTTGTTCTGAAAATTCTAACAACAGATCTTTCCAATCATCCCTCAGGATGAAAAGGCTAAAGAAAACTGACAGCTCCCTGATCGCTCTTTACTGAATGAATTGTAAAAGGAAGAGTTGAGCCTGTCACTCTTGAACCTCAATTTCCAACTCACCAAAGCTAAATGGAGAAAAGTTCAGAATCTTAGAGCTGATAGATATGTTAGAAATCACTACATTCAGTAGATTATAAGACCAAGATACAAACATGCCAATGGTTAAATAATTAATTATGGATGACCTGGGACTGGAATCTAGTCCTCAACTCCCACGTCTGGGATCATTCCACTAACCAAGCGCTTGTACTAATACTATTAACATTAGACCAAGCACTAAGTACTTGCACTAAGACTAGTCATATGGTGCCCTTACTAGGATTACTAGCACTAATACTCAGGTCAGTATAAACTAGCCACCCATCAGAACCACATGTCTAAATTTAAGTGTGTGTGAAGATTTTTTAAAATTTAAGTTTATTGGTACAATTTAGTTATACATAATGACCACATTCATTATAGGGGATTTGTAGTGATGAAGATATTGAACAACTTCCTCTTCTAATCCAGAGAGGAACATCCAGGCTGAGGGCTGATGGGCATGGGGTTGGCTGAAATGAAAGCCCTGAAAGATGTTTTGGTATGAACAAGGTGGCTTTTGTAGAGGAAATGAGAACAGAGGAGGGAGAGAAATGGGAAGGTACACAGGATGGAAAGGAGATAATGGATGTCCAGGTATCAGCTGTCTCTAAAAGTTACTTTTCCTTGTCCAGGATGAATAACACTCCAACTCTCTGTACCTGAGCCTATTCTCATGCAGTCACCATACAGCTACCTGAACACAAACTAGTCCAGGTAACCGCCACTTCCCCATACCTACCCTTCCCTTGCAGGCTGTTAGAGGCCCCTTCAAAGCACCCAACAATACTTAGTGTAGAGCTCTGTTACTGCTTTTGCTCCATAACTACGTGCCCACAATTCTGTAACTGGTATCTCCACCACCGGACTGGCTCTTGAAAGCCAGTGGCTGTGTCTTACATATCTTATCAACTCTACCACAATGGCCAGGACGTGGTAGTAACCCACTCACTGACAATGCATGAAAAAAAGTCTTGAGCCACCACCTCTTTTGAGAATGAGTTTCAGAGCTGGTTTGGGTTGGACACGCCTCCTCTAAGCTCTGTAGCACTGATGTGGTGGCCATCATGGGACCACCAGGAACCAAGACAAAATTACCTGAGTACATGCTTGAGTCACTAACTAGGTTGATCATTCTTTGCAGGCAAGAACTATTAGGTCTTCAGTGCTTGATGCTTAGAAATCACAGGGTCATAATACATGCTTCCAGAGTGGATAGACAAATAAGGTAATAAAACCAAAAGAACACCAAAAGAAATGCTGATCAAGCAAGCAATTTTTAATCACAGAGATTCCCAAAGACTGTCCTTGAAAACACGTCAGAGTGGGTTCCCAGAGCATTGACAGAGCTCCAGCATTTCCTACAGCCTCTGCCACCAGGAAAAGATGAAACACCACTCATATTCAGGAACAAAGACACAGTGACCCCTCCTTCAAGTCTTATGGCTATGTGGCACCTGTTGCTAAAATAGCAGCTGATAAGCATTTTGTTCTGTTCAAAACAACAACAACAAAACCAATCTATTGCAGGAAGCAGCATCACAATAACAATAAGAAATCATGAGGCTAAATATATACCAGGAAGAGAAATACAGAATTTTAGCAATGAAAGACAAGGAAGGAGCTGCTAGAGCCTGAGGAAAAAAGCTGAAGTGTTGATTAGAAATTGCTTAGCCTGCGTTGAAAGAGAAGCAAAGGGAGGGGGAATGAGAGGGAGAGTTAACTGAGAGGGAGGGAGAGAGAAAGGGAGGAAAGGGAGGGAGAGAATGAATGTGGCTTTTTTTTGGCTCTGTCTCATTTTTAATCTGTCTTTTCCTTTCTCCCTCCCATTCTCTCACCCCCTCAAAAGAATTCATTGATTGGGCCAGATTAAAATTTCTTACCTTGCCTTGCATGGTTTCTCCGTGAAGAATGAATCTAAATCCATCTCACCCTTGACTGCTGTTCTCTCCTCTCACCCCCTCCCCAGCCGCCATTGTTAGCTCCTCTACTTTGCCCAGGCTGAGAGGCAGCCTGTCCATGGGCACCTCTGACAGCAGTGATGGGATGCAAGGATCAAGGGTGGGTGATCAAGAGCATGGCAAAAGTCAGCCTCACTGCAGGCCAAAGAAGCCCCAGCCGTCTGACAGCTGAGATGGCCTTGATAACTAACCTGTTGCCTGCTTCTAGGTGCAGATGGCAGAAGGCACACAGAAAAATCACCTCCTCAAAACAAAACTAAAGGAAACAAGATACCCTCCAAACAAAAAGCCAGAGAGGCATATTGGGAGGGTGCAAGTAGGACTCTCCCTGAGTTCCAGAGAACTGGGACCTACCCCCAATCACCAGTGTGCTGCATGCATTGCTCCTCTGGGCGTCCATTCCTATAAACTGAGAGCTGGATTTCTGTGGCCACTCCAGAGATAGGATTCCATTTCATAGATGCTGTCAGCCCTCTAGAGAGGGCCATATGTTCTCCTTCCCCCTCTCCCTGCAAATCCCCAGAGTGTTTCTCTTGAGCAGACTCAGGGGGGTCTAGAAAGCACCTCTGACTCAGACCTCTCCCCAGATGTCTGGCTGACTTCAGGGAGGCAGTGATACGAGGCCCCAGGCCTAGTTCCCCTAGAGATGAAAACTGAGGAGTAGAAGGAAATTAAGGAATCAGAATCAGTGAGGGTGGCAGTAGAAGGCACCAGAGGAGGCCAAGGGAGGGGGGAGGCATGGATCAGCCAAACCCTGAAATTAAAGATGATTCATATTTGAATACCGTGGGAGGGATGAACTCAAAGCAGCCAAGATAAAAGGCTAATTCTGCTGAGGGTGCCCTCCACAGTCAACCCAGCGAGGGCAGGAGCATGGCAGAGGCCTTTCATTTGAAATAGAAAAAAAAAATAGGCAATCAATAATCTCCTTCTGAAGCTCAGGGAAACAGGGTATTTGCCTTTCTTTCTTCTTAAGTATATTTTACCCTCTTTCAGTGACTTGCCTGGGACATCTTACTCTGGCTCCCCTTTTCCGAGTGGCTTGATTTTTTTCCCAGATCTTCTGGTGAGTGCTACTTTCCCTCCTGCCAGTCACTGCCCCAGCCTATCTTCGCGACCTTTCTGACACCCTATTCTGTTTCCTCCATCACTCTGTTCCCACCTGGTGTTGAATGGCCGTCTAAGCTCCCAAACCTCCCTCATCCCACGCTGCCCTTTAGCAAGGGTTCTTTCTGAGTTTCTCAGGCTTGGCTATCCTGGATACTTGTCCCCTAACAGCACAGAATGGCCACATAGGGTGACATGTTGGGAACAAGGACCCCTTTATTAGTATATGTCTGAGACACATAATAAACACATTCACCTTGGGTAACTGGTACATATACATATCGCATCTTAAGTTCTTTTTACTTCCTCTTCCGCTCTCCCCTTTCCCTCCCGCCTTTTTGAACCCCAGGAGGACAGAAAGAAAGTTCAGCAAAAGGGAGAGGAGGACAGGAAGAGCCCAGCCAGATCGGTGCTGGGAGAAGCTCAATGCCTCTGGACCTTTGGGCAAAATATCTTTATTGGGGGGAGGGGACTGCATCTGTTAGAAAGGATCTGCTTTTACCATGGGATCACTCTCCAAAGGACACCAGCGAGACTGAGCCAGGCCCTAAACTCCGACCAGTCAAACCTTGTGTCCCCACCTCCTCCCCATTCTCCTCTCGCCTGCACCCGCAGGAAGCCACAAAGCATGCCCCTGGGTCTCTCTTCTCTAGGAAAGGAACTGGGGAGATGCTCCCTTACCCGCCTCCCCAGAAAACCAGTGCTCTTAACGCATCAGCCCCGCTGAGCCAGGCTCTGCCCAGGACTCAGCATCACAAACTCAAGGTAAGACTGAGGAAGAACGGTTGTATGGAGGGGAAAATGCACATTTCCAGAACAACCACACAGAGCCAGTGAACCAAACACCTGCATCTCCATCCGGCTCAATTGTAATCGGGCTTCTCCCAAGCCTCCATCATCTACACAATACACACACACACACACACACACACACACACACACACACACACACAAGTAGCTTTAAAACAGGGTTAATAAGGAGGCAGTCGAGGGTGGGGTGAAGACAGCCACCACTACGGGAATCTATATATAAAGTTCTTCGTCCCTGCAGGAGACGACTCTTACCTGTTAGCCAGAAGAGAGCACGCCACCCCAACACGACCCTGTCCATTTTCCCCAACTTCCCATACAGGCCGGGCGTGAGCAAAGTGGGCAGCGGCTGCAGGCGGCGGGCGAGCGGGTCCCGGGCAGGCTGGGCGCGCACTCGGGGCC